GTATGCATCAATTTTATATACCCCTTTATTTAGTTCAAGAGCCTCTCCCAGCATGCATCTATAAGACTGCTCATCATACAGTATGGCATTCTATGCAGTGCAAACAGAATTAAACCATATGCTGAGCGAGAAACAGGAAGAGAAATACGGATGTAATAAATCGGTTCCGCCATTTTATCCATCTGCTAATATTCAGGGCTGTGAGTGACGGCAAAAAAAGCTTTCCTGCTGTGTTTCAGAAGCAATCTTTCTATAAAAATGCATGAGTCATTGGTGCCCACAGTGCTGAGAACTGCAGTTACCCAAACACACACACAGTGGCACACACACAGACAAGCCTGTGATTACAGACAGAGAATCACAAATACATAATCACAATCAATAAGTTCCACCCAAGCACCACTGTGGCCACAAAATCCACACAGACAAGTATTCCCAGTACATAGTGAAGGGCTGGATCGCAGGAAGACGGGGGNNGGGGGGGGGGGGGGTACTGTCGACAGCAATGATGTCAGAAGTGATTTGGGTGCACTCAGGGAACTGTAGAGAGACACTACAGTACATAAAACGTGTGTGTATGTGCAGTAAGTAATTATACAGGGGGCAAGATTCTTTACCAGTAGCAGAATGTTATGAGCCCCATAGGCAAACAGTACTGTCAACGTCAGTCAGGCACACACACACACACAGTGTGTGTGTGTTTAATGAGTCAAACAATACATGAATGACCCTGAATTACAATGGCCAGCGCCATCTGGCATGATGCAACAGGGAGGAAAGCAGTAGCAGGGAGAGGCGAGAGACACAGGGACAGGACTGAAGAGCACGCAGACCTGTAAAGTTTTCGAATGTCAGTGATTATTATTATTTATCAATGAGGTCTAACAATGGTGCTGAATACATTTTTCTTCCACATAAAACCTTTAAAAAATATAAAATCCTGCATTGTTTACATTTATTTGTATTAGTGTGTTTACTACACTTAAAGTGTTGCTAGCTTGACACCATTAGCAGCGGATGTGCATTGATTGCGTCACCTGTGCCCTCGTGAATGACGCAAACAAAATGTGGACCCACTCCTAGAAACGGCTCCACAGCGCAGCTAGTGGTCAAAAATTACACAGGGAACCTTTAATAACTAATTACTGCAGCTAGTTTTAAAGCGTTTTATTACATGTACTGCCTTGGAATAAAACTGGCCTTTATAGAAACTTATATTGCAATGTATGTAGACAGGTAGAGGCAAGTACAATCTTGCTGCGCTTGAAGAATTAATTTATATTTCTGAAAAAGATCCATTGCAAAAATAATATCTGCCATGTGTTTATTAAATAGAAAGAATGAAATCAACGCCACGATTCGCTGCACTGTTCAACCAAGGCGCTCTGCTGCTGTTAGAGAATCTGAAAGCTGACACACTGCACTATGATATTCATCAGTGTGACTACAGGGTCCAAGCAAGGTCAGTGTAGATCAGATGAGGGAGCAGAGGCTAGTAAAGGTCAGATAATGTTTCTGATACAAGAAAAATGTGTAGAGCAGATCAGAGCAGCGGAGATAAGACATACACGGTATCATCAGAGCTTGATCAGGTGCATTTATCAATTGATGAGGGATCTGTAGGACTGTGAGTTTGAAGAACTTGCATGCATCTCAGTCAACTACAGTACAATCATAACATTTCTCTCTCTGTGAGTTCAGCCTCCATTCCTTAGGAATCAGTTACTGCACAATGTAGAGTATTTGATTGTGACTTAACATCACGTCAGTTATATTACTATATATGCTCACACCGTTTTTGTCTACACAGCACGTAACAGTGCATATATAAAATGATTGATCATTAATTGTGACAGCTATAAAGTTAAGGTTAGTAGTCATGCCACACACTGCAGATAAAAAAATATATATACTCAACTGCTTCCCTAAAAGTTTTGCAATTGCTTCCTCATTTCTGTAGTACCTTCTGTTCTATGAGCTCCTGAACAGTGATGCCCCTACAATTATTTGAGATACTAATACTAACACTAACTTTCATTGTAGTCTCAGTTCCTGTTTTGTTGCCCTAATAATTACCCTGGCTGCCACAGTGAAAGCTAGAGAGGAAATTGTGCACCCTGTCAATATCTCCAGATGATACACTACATCTGAAGACCCCAAAAAATATCCAGTCTATATTAGTCTAGATTTTTTGTGTAATGAAGTGTAAATAGACTTATTTCTAGACAAAATAATCCAGCGATTTGTTTGTGTGTGTATAGTGTCCGTGGGTGTCCACATATTGCTGTGCTTCTGCTTCACTAAAGATAGAAGTGTTCAGTGAGTGTCCTGCCTCTGATTAACACAGATGAATATTTCATTTCAGAAGTCCAGCTGCTCCTCATCTGCAGGTCACTCTCCTGAGACCACCTCAGGCTACAAGGCCTAACAATGTCATCACAGCTAACACACATATTTTCTGTGTGTGTGTCCTTATGGCTGAGTGTTTGCCCTCACATATAAATACATGCAAAAACATTGCTGTGTGTAATATGAAGTTAAGTCATCAAACTCATGGAAATGACTGAAATATAGCATATAACGTAACGCACCACGTTATGTGGTAATTATTATAATGTTTGAGATACAGTGAATACTAAATGTTCTCTGCATACACTGCATCTCTCACATTCAAGCCTGCACATCTGCACACCAGGGAGTTTTCGGGGTATAGGATTTCCTCCCCCCTCCCTCCATCTCTCCTTTGCTCATCATCTCCCTTCCCAGTTCCCAAGCCTGTCTTCTTCTGCAGTGTTTTCTGCCCTGTGGGGAGGCTGCTCCCAGGCTGACAGGGAGTGTCACTGACTCCTCTCACAGCACATTACGCTCTCATTCTGCAACTTTTTCATGCTTTCGCCCTCTTTTTTTTCACACAAACACCAAGGCGTGCACACACATACGAGAGTGAAAGCACTGCCATTTCTCTCTTATTCGGCTACACGAGGACAAGTGTATGGAGACCTATCATTATATAGGAGTCAATGAGTGCATTTGCAAGAGATGTGTATGTAGTGTGTGTGTGTGTGTGTTTCTGTATCAAACCAGGGGAGATAAGACACCTCCTGGACGTTCCAATTTCCTGTCCGCTATTTGCCTTCCTCACTGAGCGCTTTATCAGAGAAACACATAAATGCTGATAATTTAGGAAACCTTACCCCTGTTTGAAAAATAGAGAAAAAGAAGGGTGTGCGATGAAGACAATATTGGAGAGATGAATTTGAAATGGATAGAAGGGAGCAAGGTTAGACAGATAGACGCTATAAAGAAATGGGTGGAAGTGGGACAGAGAATGAGAAAAGACAGCGGGACAAAGAGGAGGAGGTATGAGCTCAATTTGTCCGACTGCACCAGAGGAATAGTTCACCATGTTCCACACTGAACAATTGGTGGTGTTCCCTTGTGATAGCTTGACAGTGATGTTAATGCCTCATTAAAAGTATGAAGAGTGGCAGCAACTCGGCTCCAAGTTTTGAAACCGAAAGCCGTGGAACATCTCTTCAAAAGCAGCACCCCCATTAATTAAACTCCACAGATGGACACCTTGGCTTTCTTCCAGACACAGCAAAGATAGGTGTTGGGAATTATAGCTGTTACTCATGCATGCATGGAAGGACCATCAAAAAATACAGAGTGAGCAGGGAGTGCGATTGCAGGTCAACATAGCCTGGTCTGGAATCCTAATTGACATCGTTAGGGGAGGGCAAATGTTTGCCAAGTGGCTGAGCTCCTAAGGAAATTAGCAGAAGTTATCAGAAACTGGCAATTATCACAGCCTGAAGCGAGAAGACTCAACATAGAGCTGTATAGTTTAGACTCTGAGGCCAAAGATTTTTTCATATCAGTTAATATATATATAGCATAAATACAGAACATGAAAAATAGTTACTATAGTTGTATGAGCAGCAAACAGAAAATACACTGAAATAAATACACTGCACAAAAGTCTTCAATCTTGTATAAATCCTAAAGTATAAAAGGTTGGCTAATATGAATTTATATCTATTATATCTTATATCTCGGGTCATTTACATTTATTGACAGTACCCATTGTCCTTTGCTCTAAAAAATGCATGTGTAATGTGTCCATTTAAAGGGGGTTTGTTGCTACGCTTGGTCTCTGTGTGCTTTATTAGATGCTTCAGGTGGTGAACTTTCCATTGTCCTGTCTCTGCTGGCACAGGTTTTATATGTGTTATATTGTACTTTAAGTAGCCTTGACCTGTTTGGGACTGTCTCATGCACTGTGTGGCAAAACTAGACTTTAAGCTTTAAGCATCAGCACACATCTATGTCTTGTTTCTTTGTTTATCCACAACAACTTTTCTACATTTAAGGTTGTTGTGGCTGTTGTGTTGGTACTTTCTGGCCAATAGAAAAAAGTTTCCTCAGTCGGTTCTCCCTCATAACTGTGACTCTAACACTGAAACAGTAGTACGTGGTGTTATGCTAACTTAAAGAACACCATCGTGTCCATTTCTTTAAGGCTGCCATACAATTAGTTAGAAATAGCTTTGTTTCTGTGATGTCACTGGTTGTTATCAACAGTATATTGAAGTTTCTAATTTTCTGTTGCAATGAGTGTTCACAGGGTTTTATTGCGCAGCCCTAATGGCGAGAGAAAGCAAAACAAATCGTATTTCATCATAAGAACATACTTTTTTCAAACAAATTAGTAGAATGCCACAACTTTACGTAAAACCCAACATGCTGTGGCATGACACAGCAGTGGACAGGAGATTCATCATGTATTACAGTGAGAAAGAGCGAGACATATTATAAGTGACAGATCGGAGACGGAGGATTCACTGGTTTTCACAATACACTGACAACACAACACAAAAATGTCAACAGTGACCTGAATAACCAGCCATCAGGCAGAGAGAGGCACCAGAATAGAACCGACGTATGGACAAATCCAGCATACACAAGCACAAACCAACATCGCCACAACCAACACATACCTGTCATTGTCAACGCTCCTGAAGCCAGGAAGGATGTGTCTAAAGCTGGAGTTGCGGTCAAGTTTGGGTTGACTCTTGGTGCGTTTTATCGAGCCCTTCAGCCGTCGACTTAGAAAGCCCTACAGGAGAAACACAGAGACAGTCAATAAGCAGTAGTGTTACTGCTAGTTTGTGCGGGAAGTCTCTGAGATGTCAATCATGAAGCTTGAACTTGGCAGCGGGACAGAACGTATTAATACCGACATTTACACTCCACATCCTCAATTCGGTGACGCAGAATGTCATGAATAGTTTAAGGTTAATAAATGAGTATAGATCTTCATATCAGTGAGGGTGTCAGAAAAGTGGGGGACAAGGTCAAAGACAAAGTATTCCCTGAATACAGAGAGACATAAAATAACCAACACATTCTCAAAGAGCAGAGACATTATAAGCTGGTAGGTAATATGTATGCAAAAATGATATACTGTTTCCCACAGCAGCAATTATGCCAGCGTTTGCGACAAATTTAGCGAAATCCAAACATTGTGTGTTTTAATCATTTCCATGCGCTCTAATTCAATGGATACACCCCTTTATTAGTTTTCTCATTCTTCTCTTTGTCTGAGTCTGTGTGTTTACTTCTTCTAACATCTGCAATCACACTCCCCCAAGCACCTCGCCGTCTCCATGGCAACTGTTGGTCGGCATTAAGAGCGAGAAAATATGAACAAATGAGATGTGGTGCAGAAATGGCAGGCTGTTGGAAGTTTTGAGAGACAAAAAAAAAAATCATATTTTTTCGGCTTTTTTTAGATTCCACTGCAGGGAAGATGCACAAGAAGGAAAAGAAGAAGGGCATGAAAAGAAGTGATTTGAATGAAGAGGGTGTATAGGAGGGTTGATGGAGCAACTTAGAAGGGCAGCACAAAGTACACAGAACTTAATAGTGTTACAGCCAGTATGCAGGAAAAAAGTGTTAAACCAGTCAGGGCTGAGGTGTAGCTTTTTATTTCAATCATTCAACTCAGCGGCTGGTTCATAGCCTGAATAACAGACAAATTCAGGAGCAATGTGGTTCATATAAAACTCATTTAACCTCAAAGACATACCCATAGTGCCTTGAACTCATGGCACTGTCATACATGCACACATTTCTCAAGACAGTGACAGGCGACACACAGCGAAAAAGACCTCCCTCCGTCCCAGTCAGGTCATTAACACACCTGTATAATTACCACCTACCGTGTGAATAGGTCGCCCTGGGCAACAGTGGAATAGGGATAATTAGAGAGTGACTTCCAGACAGCCTGCCAGCTGATCACAGAGGAGCCATAGCATCCTGATGAACACCAGTCATCAGTAAAACACTTTGGGCTAGGAACAAATACTTGCTAATGTCAGTACATTTTAGCCTGCGCCAATAATGGGAGTGTCTCTGTTTCATTAGTTTGTGCGTACGTGACCTAAACAAAGAGCTGTGTCCAAATTTCATACTAAACCATTGCTTTAAGGAGAAAAACTGGCAGAATGTAGTACGCAAAACAGTCAAACAGTATTCACACTAAAGCACGTTTAATTTTTGAATGTGCTGTTTGTGTACACGTCTGACGTCCCACAATGCAATTCTCAAAGGAAATGGAGGAGCTACTCGCAGCTGCTTAACATTAAAACAAATTGCAGATGGTGGTGAGACAACCTGACGAAAATCTTGGCACTCTACCAGTTTTGCACATGAAGTTCAGTTTAATTATTATTAAGAGTCAGCCAGTAAAATCTGTTGTATCATTTCCACTGTGGCTCTGGAGGGGGCTTTCTACAATCTGAGGTAAATAACTCAGTTTGTGCTTGCAGACTGCAAATTTACAACAGCAAGCCTGCATTACAGACTTGAACATGGAGTTTGAAAGATGTGGGAATTTCCCAGGGAAGGGAAGTCTTCCAAAATATGCTACTGAGTTGCATTATGAGTAATGTGCCTCTCCTGCTTTGATTTTGACCTTTTTTTTTTTTTAAATGTGTCTCTTGCTAGCTTCATAACTTTGTGGGAGATCAACACTAAACTGCTGGAGAACCCCTTTACATTTTTGCAAACACGTTTTCTCCTGATGATGTTAAATTGGCAGTGGCATTCCAAAGTCACACTTTGATTGATGTCTGTTGGCACAAGTATTGCATAATTTCCTGTTGGTACAAAAGGGTACAGCCCACTGATTTATTGGTACTTACACTATGGAAATGAGTATATACCACATATTGTATGCGATTAGTAGATATTGTAGTATAAAAATGGGACACAGCTAATGTGCAGATTGTGTAAGGTTGAGGGAGGATCTATTGTTTAGTTCCTAGTTGCACAAGAAATCAATTGTTTCTCATTTATCATCATCAGCAATGTCTACGGTGTGCATACTCAATAATCATCAGACTTTTTGGTTATATAAGAAACTCTTAATTTAGCAGAATCTGACATTTGGTATATGTAAGCTTACAGAACGTGGGAAGCAAATGGCTTACTATTGCTACCTGCCACCAGTGAACTCTGTTCAGGGGCTATTAGCTAAATGAACAAGGTTGAGTCACCAATGTTGGTATGAGCGCTGTACCCAGGGCTCTCAACAGGGTTTCTTTCTCCCCACTCCCTGTCCTCAGTATTAGCCGTATAAATACATCATTCACTCCGTATGTATATGTGAGTGTGTGGGCATGTGGTTAGATTAGCATAGGCACAATTCTTAGCAATATGAGTCAGACTGTGAAGTAGGAATATTGTTTTCTTTGACTGTATTTAGCATCATCCTCAGACCGTCTCCTATAACAACATGACAAGGCAAAGATGGCAGTGCGGTAGAAAACTGATAACACACATATGCACAAACACTGACACACACCTTTTTGTCATTCACAATCACCTCCAAATTCATAGTAATTCCATGCATCTTCCCCGCAGTCCCTAGAGAGTGTGTGTGCCTGTTGTGCTGCTGTTGGCACAGCTAACAAATTAAAATGCTTCTCTTTTTTCCTCATCCGCAGAAATAAGTCAGTGAAAAGAAACCTGTCCCTGTAGGCGAGGTGGATTGATTAGTGGCTGCTTGTTCGGTTTTTACTTCTCTCCTTTCCCTGATGGATGGACTCTGAAGAGCAGAGGGGAAAAGAAAAACAGAATCTAGCAGAAAATCAGAGAAAGAAGCCAGGAAGATACACAAACCTATAATTTCTCTGATTGTTTTGTATTCCTTGCTCTCCCTTTCACCTTCCCCAGTGCATGTGGGCCGCAATGTGACATTAAAAAACACTGCTCTATAATTCAGTCAGCCTGTCAAAGCTCTTGTAGAGAGATTGTCCAGGTTAAAGGTCAGCAGATATGGATGGTCTATTTTCCCACTCATAATCAGTCAGTAAGCATGAGTGATGCCTATATTAACACCAGATTAAACCCCACGGGAGGGAAGACACACTGGGAGCACACTGCATAAATGTTAACATTTAATTTACCTTCAGTACCAGCTCATACAAGATGACTGGGAGAGCAAGAGGGGGAAAAAAATATGCAGGAAGCGAAATAGAGATAGAGACACATGGTGAAAAAGAGAGAGGACAGAAATAGAGGTGAGACTGGTCAAAAAATTGAGAAAATGACGGTGAGTGCCTGCCAGACAGAGATGAGCTGTAGGACCAGGATAAATGGAAAAAAGTGAAGCACAGTGTGGAGGTGGCAGAGCATGAGTTGATAGAAAAAGAAATAGAATGAAACTAAATCAGGGGGAAAGTGAGGAGAAAAGTACAGCAAATGAGTGACAAGGTCACCGGCAGATCAGGGCCCAGCAGAGCAGAGCACTAGCTACAGAGAGAATTAAGCTAGACCTGAAACAAAAGATCACAGTATTGGAACACAGTAGTTCCAAGTTTGTTCCTCCACGTGGTTCATATTTTGATGTTTGGTCTTAGCATATGTTTCCATATAACACCAGTGATTACATATCAAAGAGCTGACGTTTGACATTTCAAGTGAAAAACACAATGTGAAAAGCTTGACCTCCACCCATTATGTTTTGCTGTATGTGATCAAGAAACATGTCCAGGGAAAAACAGAAAACTGAAGCCTAACGAGATGGCATACATCATGTCATCATTGTTCTATTGTGTGGTAAAGAAATGCGTAAATTGACTCATGGGAATAACATTTTCCTGAGAGCTTGGTTGAATAACACAACAATGAAATACAGGGTATTATTCAGGTTCACATCCTGTCATTAATTAATTTCTGTTCGGTCCATCATAAATATCACTGGCTTTGCTGTAATGTCTGGCCCTTTCCATTTCATTTTGCAAACACCTACTCATACACAGAAACATGATAAGGCTATTAGAGCCAGTGCAACCTGACAGGGGGCACTCCAGTGTCACATGTTAACGTGGGTCTCAATGAGCTCTTTAATTATTCCACATTTCTACGGTTGACAGCTAATTAGTGGAAGGATGGGATGGAATAATCTGATTCAACATGCATCCTCGAAGGGAAGGAGAGGCTGGTTTTCACCAACCCTCCAGCCCTACCTTACTGTGCTCGCTCAAAAAGGAATTTGATGTTTGTGGAAATAATGTTGTTTGTCCATATTTACTGTTACCTTGTTTATAGCACAAATGTGTGCTAGCTTTCCTCAGCGCTAGCCCGTATGTGTGTGTGTGTGTGTGAGTGTATAACAGGCTTGCATACTTGATTGTAATCTCAGCCTGTCCAAGCCCATTAAATCAGCACTAAGAGGACAGCTCAATTTTATCGCTGTGCTTTTTTTAGTTTTCCTTTTTCATGAAATTAAAGCAAATGCTTGCAACAAGTTAATTCTATTCCCTTGGCTTGGCAATTCCAGGCTTCCCTAATGGGGGCTGATAGAATCAGTGCCTGGACAATCAGCAGGGTGTTCCGTGCTTCTACATCTACCTCTCTTGTCCTCCTCTAGCACAACCTGATGAAAACAAGAGACATACCTGTCCAATTAGACCCCCTGCTATTATCTGAGAGGAGAGGGGAGGTAGGGAAGATGGAGCTAGGGAGAGATTGGATAAGGAGCTAAGTCACAATTGAGAATCAGTCCAGCCAGCTAGTGCAATCAGCGGGACGTGGTGGACGTGACAGACTTAGATAAGGTTTGTTTGTCTGCTCTTTAAACAAGCACTGAATAGGAGAAACTACCAAGTTGTAACTTTTATATTTAAGGTATGAAATCTTCTAGTATTTCTACAATTGGCTGTGGTAGATTAGGCTTTGGAGAGAGTTTTCTCCCATGCCTACTGGTGAGAAATTGTTTTTGAGAAGTGCTGGAGGATGTGCTTATGCGTGTGTGTGTGTGTGTGGGCCATCCATTTATGTGTGCAGACATTGAACCAAGTCTCTGCAAAGAACATGAGAGGAAAACATTTTGACAGATTTAGCTCAAGGCCTAGGAGGGGTACTTTAGATGTCACCACAACTCTTTTCACTTGAGGCAGAAAAGTGAGGGGAGGTTTGTCATTGCTAAAAGTGGGAGATGCAGGAGGGACGGAGAAGAATACGACCCATTTGTGTGTCCCACCATGCCTGTATCCATCTATCCAACCATCTAAATACTGTGTCTATTGTGCATTTCTCTACTATATGTGTATCCATTTGATCTATTAATATCTGCTCTATTAGCAAAATCTGATGATCAACAAAATTCTAGTCAAATCGTATTTGTTTCCTTCAAAAGTTGATGAAAAAGTTGGCATGGGGAACTTAGCTGGCTGTACTACCATTAAAGGCCAGAAGGGGGCAGTGTGTGAAAAAAGTGCAGGAAAGGGTCAAACTGTCTGGGGAAGCTTTCTTTGTGCAAGAAGTAACTGCTGCTTAGCAATAAGCCCAGAGACGTAAGTGAGTGAGTGGTCATGTGATTGAGACAGGATGACTTTGCTGCAGTGCTCATCTTCTCGCTCTCTTCCCTGGAGAGAACAAGGAGCTGCTTAAGAGACACTTAATCAATATTTACCCTGTCTATCTGACCTTTTCTGTCTCCTACAAGCTTTTTATTCTTCTTTTCTTTTTTATGTCTCTCTATATCCACTCAATGATTCAATTCACATTCTGTCTATTCTGTCCATTCTAAAAGTCTAAAATTTGGGGGAAAAAACTGATAGAAAAGGAGCAGACACACAGCAGGTAACAATTCATAATCCCCAAAAACAGTTTCCGTTTTTTTTTTTATATGAACAAATGAGAGTTTGGCAATCCCTAGCTCAAGCTGTGGTAATTTTATATGTGCAACTCCTAAAATAAAGTTCATGAAACACTTAATTCTCACTCTGCAGGTGGTCCAACACCAGTGGGTCTAGCTTTTTGTTTTTTTATCTACTGTGGGCTTCTACTAAGCCTCAGAAGCATCCTAATTTGGTTTTTGTAGAGACTAAACACTATCTTTAGGGGGATCTTTGAGTGCTGAAGAAGGCTGATGGTGATAAAAGGAGAAAATGAAAGAAATGAGAACATCTTTTCTATTTTCACAAAAAATATAATGTATTTTAGCCCTGACGTTGGCCCATTAGTGTGCCTGTCTTTACAAAGGCTGGAAGTTAACATGAAGTTGAAGGGGTGTTTATGAGAGACTGAGTGCTGAGAGCTCGTGGCCCTGCTGTCCTAACATCTACTGTTTACAGTTCACCTTCAGGTCGTTGTCTCCCCACTGATTATTTATTAATGGAAATATGCGCTGCTAATTGCTAATTAGTTTTAAATTGATGACTCATAGCGGAATTTTTTGCTTCATTAACTGGCTGTTTATCTGTTGAATTAAACATGACAGAAAGCATACTGGATTTGAATTAGAGCAAGATGACAGACAAAGGACTGCTCTGCGTGCACAGAGCAGAGACAGTTTTCTTATAAACGAATGAGTGTGTGGTGCGTGCACAGGTGTGGGAGTGCGCGTGTCAGCCTATATGAAGCATGTTAAAATTATTCAGTGAAACGCAATGAAAAATCACACAGGATGTAGAAACGCAGTAGGACGGTGGGCTGAACACACACCCAAGATGTGTGATGTGTAGACGCCAAACATCAAAGGTCCCATTTCAACATTTGATGTAAATGTGTTTCAGATTGGCATGAGTCCATCTGGACAGCAGACCAGCCTTCTAAAGGCATTGATCTACAACTAAGAGGCTTCTAGGGCAAAGTAAGGTGGAGACAAAGCCAGAGGGTGAAACAAAAAAGGAGGCTGAGACGATCCATAAAAAACAAACTCACAGTACTCACGGTGACTCTGAAAGGTGTGGCAGCAGTGGACGTAGCCTCCATGGTGGGTGTGGTCTTGTCTGAGGAGCTGCCTGGCATGCTGCGTCGGCGTCCTGTCCTCTCTGGAGGAGACTCTGTAAACAGAGGGGGATCTTTAAAATGTGAAAGTGTTTTTTAAATAGTAAAAAATTGGGAAATATTAACTTTCTTGCAGTGAGTTACATGAGAAGATTGATATCACTCCTACTTCTGTCCGTTACTATGGAGCTAAAACCAAGAGATTCTTAGCTTAGCTTACGGCAAGCAAGGGGAAACAACTAGTTTGGCTCTCTCTGAAGTAAAAGAAGTCAAATAAATTCAACTATAAGCACCTCTAAAGCTAACAGAAAAAATATCTATTTTAATTTGTAAGCTTAAGAGTTGTATTTTAGAGTTTTGGGCAGAGCCTGGCTAGCTGTTTCCCCCCTGCATCTAGTCTTAATGCTAAGCTAATCATGCTAGCTCTAGCCTTATATTTATCATACAGGCCTGAGAGTGGTATCAATCTTCTTGTCTAACTCCCAGCAAGAAAGCAATTAAGTGTATTTCCCAAAATGTCCTTCAGCTAGTCAAAAGATTGTCCAAAGCGCCAAAGGGGTAGCCTACAGCTTGCATTGTCTGTCCTTTAAAGAACATGATGTCCGTGTGATTGGATATAAGTGTTTTTTCGCTTCTAAAAATCCCAATTTATTTGACCAAGCTGCTTCTACACTGTCAGAATCAAGAGCACCCAGAGGAAATTCACTAAAAGACAGTGGAGAACATTGAAACTCACAACGCTGAACCAATAGTGGACCTTTGACACTGACAGTGTTGGAAATAAGGGTGTGGAGTTTGGGGTGCCAAATGGCCTTGGACCTGGAGCGACCTTGGTTTAATAGAATTTAATTAAGTTTTGATACGAGTGGGATATATTTAACAGTGATGGCTAATCCTTAGCCTAGGGTGTTTGCAGCATTCAACATGGGTTTGTGCACTACAAAACAAAGTATGTCATATTAGACCATGCAAAAATGAATGTTTACAGGCGCCTCATGTTAATACTATTATATTATTATATTATATTACCCATTTCTGAATGTATAAATGCCCATTCACTGAGTAAAATACTGACTTTCCATTCCTGATTTCCCCATCCTCTTCCCATTCACTGAACTTAATTGTATCTGTTAGCTTTTTTATCTTGAGTGCATCTATCTAATTCTCTTATCCTGGATACACAGTACAGCATAATCAGAATGGAAGAGCAGCGAAAGAGCTCTTGAGTCAAAGACTATGCGTGTGTGTGGAAGCTACAAATCTTGACATGTCCGAGAGGAATGTGAGTGATGTTGAGCATGCATGTCTACACAGATTTCAGATAGCCACCGCTGTTAAATGCAACCTCATGGGTACAGAACAGACACTCAACATGTTACCAGTTGGTGAACTTATATAACCCCAAATGATAAGGTTGTTTAGACCACTCTGTTCTGTAAATAAGTGGCAACTTTAAGTAGAAGACATTCTAACATGAAAAATAAATTGTGCATAACTAGGTCATTCTGATCTAATCTTTTGAAACACATGGGGTCATTGCATCACTGAAATGGTGTTAGATTATTTAAATGAGATCTTTGACTGCCTGAACATTGGAATCTAATGAAATTAGTGTTAAGTGTGCGTGGCAATGTGACTCTAATAAGGATGAAACTGCATTATGAAGCATATCCTCCTCTCACTCTCTTTCTTTCTCTTTCTCTATCTCTCTCACACACACACTACACTGTAGTATATAATATGCATATAATGTACATAATATGTATTAGGAGTGTTCCCCATTTTTTTGGGAACTCCCCACAGACTGCTGATCTAATCCTCTCCAGATTTGGTATCTCTAGATGCAAATCTCTACACTCTCAACACTTATTGGGTAAGCCAATATAGCTGGGTAAGCCTTACTGATTAACATAGTGTCTGATGGACAAAAAATAATGATTTCTAAGCAGTGAACACTTGGTATAATCTTCACAAAGCTTGACATAAATTGTCATAACTCTTTATCAGCATGCCAAATCTCAGGACTCTTGTAACTCCAAATACAATTCAATACTTAACTAATGTGTAAAATATAAATGTGATAAGATTTGGGCAATAAATGACATGTACATACTGTATAGTACTGACATTGACAGTGCTTGCACAGTGCTTGTTTCAAGTTTTAAACATTTCATGTTAGAATATGCAAATAAACAAAGGAAAGAGGCATGAGTTTGCATAATTTGGGATAAATACTGGCCCCTAACTAAATATGGACTGTACTGATCAAATACTGCAATGATATCACAAAAAATGTGAAAATAGACCAAATTTTGTGCCAAAAGAATTTGTTCCTAATATTATATTTGCATATAGAGCATTTTTAATAAGCTACACACATACGTACACACACTTGGTTGGTTGTTGTGTTTGTCAGTGCTATCCGTTCTATTAGCTTGTCAAGCTGAGCTGCGCCAAATTAGCTGTCTGCTGGTTAACAGGCCGGCTGACTGAATTAGCGCATGCTGTAATTGAAGAACGAATGGAAGAATAGCACCTCCCACTGTGCAGAGCACTGGCTCGCATCCCAACCCACATCATTCTCAGCCTAACATTAACATAAACACAGTCTGCAACAACAAACAGCAGACAAACAACATGCTCTGACATAGAGCAGACGTCCTCTGTTGTTAAATTAAATCTCTATAATTGAAAACCGGAACCATCTGGATCCTCTGAGCAGTGGTCCATTACTCTGTGGAGGTCAGGAGGATTTGATTTTAAACAAGCTTGATCTCTATCTCTCAGAGACATGTTAAGCCAGTCTTGGTTTTTGTATTCTAGAGGTGAGAAATTTGCAGTTAGAGAGACTAACAACATACCTGCATCAGCCCCATTTAAAATCCCTATATCTGTACACATAAGGACACAAGACTCAGGAGGTGACTGGCGAGAGGTGGTCCAAGTCATGTATCAAGTCCATCTAAGCAAGTCCTTGGACAATAGTCCATGTTAAAGTACAAGTCTTTAAAAGCAAATTAACTTATTTGCTTTTAAAATGGTCAATTAAATATGTAAAGTGTACTGTTACAGTCGTATTTATTTTTTGTCTACAAGTTCACCAGTCAAAATTTGAGACTCAAATTATTGTATTTTTAAGTGTTGAGTAACATTTTTAGGGTGTCATGTCTCAGATAGTTTAAATCTCACAGCAGTCCAAGCCTCAAGTCTACAGCTATGAGTCCCGAAGGTTACCACATGTACAATTTATTGCTATGAGTTCCTCCATTTATAGCAGTTTGACAAAGCTGGTCCTGTTCAATCCTGGTGGCTATTTTCATGCATAAAAAACAAACTGAGCACATCAGTGTGTCATGGTATATTACTGATGTTTGTCTGGGCTGTCTAGTTGAGTTTTTCCTAAATCTGACTCTTCGTCGGTGTAACTTCAGTTGTCTCACTAGTGGCAGCTCTGGATAAAATGTTACCAGGGCTGTCAAGAAATACTAAAAATGGAATATGATTCTAAATGATGCCAGAAAATTAATGCGTGGGGAGGCGGGCACATAAAAACCTGCTCAATCCATTAGGATGGTACAAAGTTTAATAAAAGCTGGTATACCAACAGAACAGGATTTCAAAGATTTCAAAAATCACTTGTCTGTCTCAGTTTGTGACTGTAACAAACTAATATGGGGGCATTTAAATCTGTTGCTATGACAATGAGTGTATTTAATACTTTTAATACTCAAAATCATTCATGAGCAAATAGGACTGATAAGGTAATCACAAACATTGACTGAATTAAATCAGCAACTTGAATTTCGCTTCTCTCGTCACGAATAATTTATTCGCTCAACCCCACTGGATTTACCCCTCTAGTCTTCTTAATTTCTTAACGGAAATCTCCCCACTTGTAAACAGCTGGCTGCCACAAGCGCTCAGAGGAACGCTCGCACACACAAACACACATCATTTGGTTGTGAACTAATTGCTGTGTGAAATTGCAGAGCGAGCTTCCACATGTTTTCACCATCTGCGTGTTATGTATCTCCACAAATGCATGGAAAATTTCGCTCACTATAGTTCGCTCCTGTGTCTGACCCTAACCCCCCAACCAACAGCAAACAGTAAACAGACTCACACACAATAAAACCTTAATTAAAGCACAAAATTCCAAAGTGAAGTAAATCATCAAAGAGCTGTTCCGTACTGTATGTTGTGGCTGCTTTCAGGGTTTTAACACTTCCCGTTTAGAGGTGTCTGTCTAAAAGTTGTTGTTTCATTTATTTTGGCATCTGAAGATGTATGAGTGTGTGTTTGGGAGCACCAGGCATGCAAGGTTCTATTTGTAAGGTCAATTAGAGGGTCAGAGGACCCACACACAACAGCTGCTGTGCCAAAAGGTGAGGTATCTTTGAACCACCAAGTCTGGAAGCCTTAAGGCCATCTATTGTTTTATAATCTTGACCTTCTATCCAACCTTATCCTCCACGTTCTCCTCCTTATTATGATCATTTAAGCGTTGTTTTGCCTTCACCATTCCACTCTCTTCCCTCCCTGCTGAATTTTCCTACTGTATCATCACATCTTTATCACCTGTGACAAATACAATCAAATTCTCATCTGATATTGCCTCCTCATTGCACCTCTCTTCATTTTATTCTCTATTCCCCCAAAACTCAAACTAATGCCTCGCCCTCCTCCATCACCATCTATCCACAAATAGAGCTGTCTCTCAGTTTTCATTCCACACATCTCCAGGCTCCCTCACAGTTAGTTAATGGGACCCTGAAAGTGCTACTGAGAGCCCTGGGGGTGCCTACAGCTACAGAGACTAGATGATAGTAGCCTGCATTTCGAGTGTCCACACGAGTATATATGTGTCCTGGTCTGACCAACGGAGATAGGGGCACTGCCTGGTAGTATCACTTTGCAAACAAAATAAATGCTTTCAGGGGGAAAAACATCCACTTTCTTGTCAAGAGTTACATAAGATGATTGACACCACTTTTGTGTCTGCATGCTAGAGACTGCAGGTGGTTAGCTTACCAACCACAATCATTTTCATGTTTTA